AGTGGAGTGCAAGTGGAAGTAAGTTATCATGTTAAGTTTGGGTTTCTATTATTGTTTTATCTGTCACTAACTGTAACTGACTAACTGTTTTGCAATAAATAAATAAATAAGATAATCTCACACATGTCAGTACATATATATTTATTTTCTAGTCTTGCATCTCTATATAACACGATGTGACAATATGTGTTTCAGATGTTTTAATTTGTTGAATATTGTTATTTCTGCAAACAAAGGAAAAAAAAAAAAAAAAAAAAAGCCAAACCCCAGTTTATAATGAACATCATACACCAAAGAGCAGTATCTGCGTCTCACCCGGTGCGGTACAGCAGGGTCCACAGCTACAGCCTGTTTACTGTGCTCCTCAATCACCAGGTACATGTAGTTGTCCTCAAGGATGGAGATCACCTTCACCTTCATGGCACCCTCAAACACATGCGCACTACAAAGTTCAGTTCAGAGTTTAATGAGTCACAGTTAGTTATATCCCCGTGCTTGTATCGATATCTGAACCAGCTGTTAACTTACCACTGATATTGTATTAGGTATTAAGTCAGCTAATAAAATGATGCAGCGGTACACTTAAAACCGCCACCGGCTCTGTTGCTGTGTCATTGAACTGAACACTGATAGCAAATCAACCAAAGACAACACGGTTACCTCAGATTGAATGGTCACGACTGGGTTGTTGTATCCTTGTGCGGCTGCGATGCTGTGAATATTATTATTCTACATTTCTGCATTCAGACCTTAGATGAAGGAAGTTATCGCGACATCATCGAGCCAACAAGTCTAATCCCAGACATTTTAATGGAGCCCAGAAACATTCAACACGGTTGTTAATAAGATACTGTTGAGAAGGAAACGTGTCACTGTGTTATAACTCGACTATTTTTTATAGTTTTTTTTGCTCAGTATTTTGTGTACCGACTGTTAGACAATTTAAAATGAAAAATAAATAAAGATTTTAATCTGGAAAATACTTAAATTGAATCAAACACTCTCATTACTCATTACCAGTTGTGCTACAGTTAAATATAATTTAGTACTTCTATCTCACTACATAAACAGAAACAAATTGTAGTTTTGTAGTTTTTTTACTCCGCTACATCTTTTAACATATATAGTTACTTTGTAGGCAAAGTAAACATATAATATATAGTGTGATGCATTTATATATATTTAATGAACAACAGTTCAAAGCTCAACCAGCTACATGCTTACATGTTACTGCTCTTGTCATAATCCAATAATATATCCTATGTGGTAATACAACACTTTCAATGGGACCATTTTGCACAACGAGTCCTTTTCTTTTGAAACTCAAAGTACATTTTGAATGACCTTTATTTCTACTGACTTAGTGTACACGTTTTATTGCTTTTTTCAAAGGACATCATGCAATAATCTTCATAAGATTGTACTTCACATGCAGAAGAGCACTGGTGCCAAGTAACCAAACTAACAGGTTCCAAGCAAAAACCACAAAGAAATGTAACGAGGAAACATTCCAGGTCAGAATAAAACATTGATACGAATCTTTACAGAAAGTACTTTATCAATTTACAGACATTTTACACATGGTCCAACATTAGTTCCGCCGCGCGTTGTCTTGTTTAAGTCATTGAATTGGTATCCTTCATGAAATAGTAGTTTGTACATCAATATATTACAAAATAAAACTAAATAGACTCTAAAACTCCAATTTACAGATGAACAAACTCATTTTCTCATTTAACGCATTCAATTAATGGCCATATATTCCTTAAAACGATCACACCAACATGATCCAAACAAACCAAATACAACTAAAATAATGACTGATAGGTTTATCGCCATATTTGTGAACAAAAATGTTTGCCTCGACTGAGAGTTAATGCAGTGGATCTACTGGTATTTCAACTGGCATTGAAGATGCATTGCAGGTATTTTCTGTAGTATGCTATTGAAAGCTTGCAGTGTTATAAGCAGTTGTTCAGGAACAGTTAGCATTAGTGGACCGCACATCACTCCTTCGGCACCCGGAAGCCATCTTTCTCTTTCCGGAGACTTCTCATGGTTTCAATCGGGTCTGTCTGCTTCACATGATCTTGCACGGACTTCTCTCTAAATAAAAAGAAAACATGAGCAGACAAACATTAATTAGCTCTAAACAAACTACACTGACACAACAAACTACACTGACACTACATGTGTTGTAAATTTGCAACAAAATTAGTATTGAATCCTGCTCTACATACTTTACTCTCATAAAGGGGTTAAATGTAAATTCGTCTGCCAAAGTGGACGGGATGGTGGGTTCTCCATTGCTGCATTTCTCCTACAGGAACACAAAGTTATTTTTAAACTTCATCAGCTTCACTGGTTGATCATCCGATTGGGGCAATGATTGCTTTGTTGTGACACGTCATTCAAATACCTTTGCCCATGCTAGCTTCTTCTGAATGACTTCATTGTCTGGTTCCACATGCCGTGCAAATTTCAGATTGCTGACGGTGTACTCATGACCGCAGTAAACACGCTGAAACACAAACACAGTATGGTTGGTCAGTCATACAGCTTAAGTGTGACTTTTTCCAAGACCCAAAATAGAAAATGAATCACATATCTCACACATTTTCCCCATAACTTATCTCAATTACCCTACTCAAATCTTCTGTAAATTACTTTAAGAACAATTCAGGTCTTCAGTAATACCTTTTACATTGTCATTACAGGTGGATTACATGTACTTACTGTTTCAGGAGGCAGGCGTCCCAGGATTTCTATCAAGGCTCTGTACATCTGTTCTGCGGTACCCTCAAAGAATTTACCACAACCAGCCACAAACAGCGTGTCTCCTGCACGAGAGAGAAAAGCGTCCTTTTAAAAAGGTCACACATGACAGAGAGCTGACTTGTTACAGAGGCTGCATCAGTACTTTTTGATCAGGCTTAACAGTGTAAGGGTTTTATCAAGAGACTCCATTGTCTCCAATATCACATGGTATTTATTTGCGTTCACCTGATATAAAGGGTTAATGTGATTAGACGTACCCGTGAAAACAGCTGGCGGCTCAGTGCTATTTTCTTTAGTCACGTAGTAGCAGATGTGACCAGTCGTGTGACATGGCGTAAACAGGCATTTGACATTGAGCGATCCAAGCTAGGAAGGAATAACACCAGTGAGCAAACATCAGTTACGTGGGGGTTATATTTACATTGCAGGACAGACAGTTGGAGGGTCTTACTTTGAAAGTGTTGGAATGAGAAACTTTCTTTGTGATAGCATCAACTCTGTCGTCTCCTCCATAGACCTTCAGTCCTGGCATTAGCCGTACCATCTTCTCATTCCCACTAGCGTGATCCCTAGGGAGAGAGAATGATCAGTGTATGACAATGCTCTCGTGTAAATAGTGTAAATAGCCAACTTAAAGTGTAGCTTACCAGTGGTGATGAGTGGTTAGAACTGTTGTGAGTTTTACGCCATGTTTTCGGACAGCTTCCACAACCTGTCAAACGCAGAAAAAAGGGGTTGATTAATCAATCAAAAGA